TTGTTCCCGTTCTGGTTCCACTCCCAGGGCGCCGCGGGCGCGCGGAGGTGCTTGACCGGCAGCTCGGGCGTGGACTCCGGCGTGGGCAGGCAGGCCAGCTCGGGCGGGGCCCCGCCGTCGGGCGGGGGCAGGAAGGGGCTGTAGAGCTGCGGGGTCTGCGCGGCGTCTCCGTCCTTGGCTGGCGGAGGGGGCTCCGCGCCTGCCCCGTGCAGCCGCGCCAGGCTGCGGAGGGAGAGAGGGCGCGGGAGCCCCGCGGTCTCGATGTCCTTTCTCCCTCGTCGGTGGGCGCGGCGACAAGCACAGGACACCAGGAGGCCAGAGATGGAGGCGCCCAGGGCGAAGGCTGCGGCCACGCTGGCCAGGAGGAGCGGGACGGGGACGGAGTGCGAGGGCGAGGCCGCGGGGAGGTCCCGGCGCACGCCTGCCACCGAGGGGAGCAGGCGCTCAGCCGGGGCTCTGGGCTTCCTTCCTCGGCGTCCACCTCCCTTGACGCCTCCAAACAGCCCAACACTACCCTCACACACAGGCCAGAGCGTCTGGGCCCTGCAGCCATGCTAAGAGCAATCGCTAAACTGCCCGTGCAAGAGGACCCGGGCTGCAGTGCCCGGCTGGGGGAAGGGAGGCTCCAAACAGGCATTAGTGAGCACCAAACACCAGCCGGAGCTGGGCGCGGAATGCTCAGGTCGGCAGCCACACACGTCACTCCTGCCCCTCCCAGCAGCCCCCTTACCCTGAGTGTGAGCTCCAAGAGTGGAAGACTGGGGCCCCGAGGCATCACTGGGGGGACTGGGGGCCTCTGGGGAAGGGCCAGGACCCAGAAGCACTGGTGACAGAGACCAGGTCAGAGCCCGTGAGGCTCCTGCTCTCCACCAAACTCCCGCCCAGTGTCCCCGGAGCTTTGGAACCCAAGAGTTTTGAACTCCAGCGTCTGCTCTTCTCTGGGCATGGGGAAGGGCTCACCGGGGACATTTCATTTATTCGTGCAAAAACTATTGCACACCCTACTGTGTGCCAGGCACTGAGCTAGATGCTGGGGATCTGGAGGATGCTGACGCTTGCTTGAGACTCAGGGTGTCCAGGGTGCTGGTCCGATGCTGCCGTGGGGCACAGACTTGGGGGTGTGGGCTAGTAAGCAAGGGAAGCTGAAGCTGGGACAAGAGGACTCACCGTAAGCGGAGTCCCCAGGCCCAGACTGACTCCCAGTTGCTCCATCTGTGAAGCAGAGAGAGACAGGGTGAAGCGGCGGAGCGGGAGGCTACCTGAAGAACTGAGGGAATCCACTGTACCGCAGAAGGGAGGAAAACAAAAGCTCACACACCCCAGATGCTGTCTGTGGCCATCAGAGCCACGTGCAGCCCCTGCTGTGGCTGCAGCGGCCCCTTCCCTTTACCTTGGCAGTCACCATGCTCCATGGGTTCCTGATTTCCAGCCTGATCTATATCAGTCCTGGGAAGAAAAGGAGGTGGCTGGCTGCAGCGCTGCATCCTGACCCCATGCCCCACCCTGCCCCTTGGCTTCCTTTCATAGCAATGTGAAACAGCATCCTCAGGTAACCCAGGGGCACACTTACCCTTCAGGCCCCCAGACATCCACACAGCCTCTGGAGCTATGCCATCCACAGTATGGGTCCTGAGAAGCCAGACAACTCCTAGGGGAAACTGAGTCATATGAGACTGGGACCCACAGCCCATTCCGCTCTCTCTTCTCCTGTCACCCTGGCTTACAGGAGGCTCCCAGCACTATAATCCCATTCTCCGATCCCCACCTCTGCTCCAGGTCCTGGTTGTACCTCCCTTCAGAACTGTCCCCTCCATGTCCCTGCCAGCCCCAAGACTGATGGACCTTTCTGCGCTCCTGCTGGCCAGGGCATTCACCCAGGCAGTCCTGGCCTCAGGCACCTCTCACCTCTGACAGGCCCCATGCCGAGCACAGCGGCTGACAGGGAGGGAGATGATACAGCCGGAAAAAGCCACAAAGAGCCTGTGACCCTCAGCGTCGAGCTCCAGCCCTATGATGCGTCTTGCTGTTTGGGCTGCATGCTTCCCACTGCACCTAGGGTGAGACTCGAAGGTGTCAAAGGAGGCAAGCGAAGCTACCCTTTCTCCTGGGAGAGCTGCCGAGCACAAGGCGGGGAGGTGCGTAAGCCTCGGGGCACACCCTTGGCACTGCCCTGCCTCACAGTGCTAGTCTGATCACCAAGCCCTTTCTCTACCAAGCCACTCGTGCCCCACTGAAGCCAGCAGTGACATTTCCAACCCATTCCTACATCCCCATCTGTCCCCACCCATCCCGCTGTCCCACAGAGAACCTGTCCCCTTACCGAGAGGGGCTGTAGGCGTCAATCTCTTCCAAGAGGATGGGATCAGGTCTTCCAGGACGCCCCGCTGGAGGCAGCACCTTCAGCACTACGCCGTCGTCCGAGCCCAGGAACAGGACAGTGGTGTTACTGTGGGGACCAGCCATGCCATCTACAGCCACCTGCGTCAGGAGAGCCCTGGAACGTAGGCCTCAGGTCAGGGCAGCCTGTCTAGTGGAAGCCTGAGTGTTCAAGGGGTACCCAGGGATCCTGTGCCCTCCCCAACCCAGCGTTCCCTTAGCACTCTGCCTTCTACTTTCGTGACTTCCCCCTCCCCTGATCTGGTTTGCCTCATGAGGTCCGAGAGAGGACAGTGGCTGAGGATGGAAGGGGTGCCCAGGAGTACCTGCTTGTAAGAGTGAGGAGCGGCTGATGGATGGCAGGGGGCACTGCAGGGTCCAGCAGTGGGTGAACCTTGATGAAGGTCAGGACGTCATCAGGAAGGTCTTTTGAAGAGGAGAATGAGGCGGCTCCACCCACACCTGCACAGGATCCGGGCCTGCCAGGGACATGGAAGGGGTAGCCTGAGGGCAGGGAACCCAGGCCTAGTTAAGCTATGTCCCTCCACTGCTCAAAAACACGGCTGGCAGCTCCTGCCCCATCCAACAGACACCTGCAGCCCTGCTTCCCATCCCTGATGCAGCTGCCCGCTCCCCTGCCGGCCTCTCCCCGGGCCTGGCCTTCCTTAGAAGTCCCATCCTGCGATCAGGTAGCGTTTCCTTCTGCCCCCACAGAAGCCTCCCCCATCCTGGGTACCTGGGTGAGGGGACCCTGTCCTCAGACACAGGGGTCCAGGCCCCATCCAGACTCCTCTGCTCCTTGAACTTGCCCTCAAACCCACGCTCAATATCATCCAGGTAGAAGGCGCAGACTGCAGAGCCGGGGATGCTGGGGGAGCCAGAAAAGATGCAGGAGAGGCGTTGAAAGGGGCTGCGCAGCTCCTGCCAGGTAAGAAGCAGCAGCTGCCCTTCATGCACCGTGTTAGGCTGGGACAGCCACTGGGTGCCATGCTAGGAGGAAGAAAGGTGGGGAGGACAGCAAACAGGCTCTGCTTAACACTTCCCTCACCGCCTGCATCGGCAGGCTTTGAGAGGGGTGCTGGATGCTGGAGGGGCCGGGGACAGGTGAGGTCATGTAGTTAGCCTGGTACCAACCTATTGGTCTGGGTGGTGAAGACCCCAAAGAGAGCAGAGCGACCATGCAGGCTCACGGGCCCAGTCAAGGCCTGTAAGACGTCAAAATAAAAGGTCGAGTCCCCAGGGACAGAGCAGTTGAGCCGGAGCTTCAGGAAGGATGTCCATTGGCCATCCAGGGCCCGGTTTGAGCCGCCCATGTCACGTTTGCACACACGGGCCACGCGGGAGAACTGCACCTGGAGGGTGAGGGGAGGAAAAGCGCCGCCAGGTCAGCTGGCCCAGAGGAGCAGGGTGGCTTCTGAGCACCAGAGACCGGGGATAAGGTCACAGCAAAGGAAGGGTATGGCGGGGGTCACGGGGTCAGGATGAGGGTCACAGGCACACATGGGAGCCAAGAGCTGGGGGTCATTCAAGGTTGGAGGCCCATAGTCCAGGCGCTGTGTTATAAAGATGAGCATTCAGGGCCCTGGTGCCTGCTTTCTTACCCTCCCCAGCCGGGCATCCTCCACAGAGACTTCTCGGAAGAAGAAGTAAATATGGTCTCCGTGCTCCAAGGCATGGACAAAGTGTGGCTCTGAGGTGGGAGCAGTGGAAAAGCGTATGGAAGAGTCCACCCTCCCTCAGAAGCTCCTGCTCTACACCGCACCTCCCTGCTGCTTCCATGCACACCACCATGCCACCTGTCTGCCCCCCAGGTTGGTCCTCTTCCCCTGCTCCCCAAGAACAGCCTCCCACCCCCAGGCCCACTGACCTCGGAGCCACTTGGAGTCGTGCTTGGCAGTGCGGAGCAGGGGCAGAGGCCCAAGGCTTCTGTAAACGACAGGATCGCTGGCCTGGAAATCTGTGTTTGTGGCTGAGTACAGACTGCCCTCTGCAGGGATGGGGTCGGGGACGCCATCAGGGTCCTCTCCTGCCTCCTGTTGGGCTGCCAGAGCCCCTACCTAGGCCTGGCCCCGGCTCCTCCTTCACCCTCCATTCAGGGACAGAGTGGGACCAAGCTGGGAGAGAAGCTGTGGTGGGCACCCCCTCCAGCCTTATGCCTGCTTTTCCATGCCCAGGTACACACCTGCAAAGATGGCCACATTGGACTGGGTGGCATCAAAGGGGCATCGAGCCCGCCCATCCATCTCCTTACTCTCCTGCTGCAGTGAAGTTATCTGGGGGCAGAGGGAGCAGTTCCTGGAACACTTGGGGTTGTGGGTGCTGGCTCCGTGGCTCACTCCCACGTGTCCCCTTGTGTCTTCCCCAAGCCCTCTGGGACCTTCCATTCTAAGCAATCCCATTTCCCAAACCCAGTTCCAGTCCCTTCCTATCAAACTGCCGCCCATCTTGGGTTCTGCTCCCAACCCCGGCCTGCCCTCTACCCTCTCCTTCGTACCCCGTAGCTGCGGCACTTGGGGTTGAATGAGTTTGTTCCACAAGCGAGGAGCGTCTGGGAGTCCCGGAGAACGAGGACACGAATGTAGTTGTAGCACTCCTAGAGAACCCGAAGTTCAAGCCAGGGACGGGTCAAAGGGAGTAAGCGGCTGCCTTTGAGCAATATCAGGTAGAGTCCCCACTAAGCTGGTGGCTATCCAGGTGGCCTCGGACAAGTCCTTTGGCCTCTCTGAGCCTTTTTGTGAGGTGGGTAACCAAAAAGCATGAATTCTCCTCCCCAGTGTTCTCCTGGCCTGGGGTGGAAAAGTGGGCAGGACGCTGGCCATGGCGGGAGACCACTTGGGCAGAGGCTACAGGCAGGGAACCTCCCTCCCCACCCCTCCAGATGTCTCCTTTCACGCCTCACCGTCTGCTTTCCCCGTACAGCGCAGTTCTCCACCCCTTGGCTCCTCCATGTCAGATACTGGAGGGAGGAGCGAAAGAGGGAACTCATGAGGCACCCTGGGCCTACCTCACATTGTGCTTTTTTCTGGCCCTTCTTCTCACCCACTCAATCCCTCAGCTCCCTCCCAGCCTCATCTCCGGCTGCACCTCCTCCTAGACAGCCTCACCTTGCTGGGCACCAGCCCTTCCCCTTCTTCTTGGGCCTGAAGATCAAAGAAGAAGATGTGGTCGCTGAAAGGGCAGGGAAGCGGGGGTCAGAGCTGAGCCGAGGCACCCAGTCAGCACCCACCTCCCCCTGGCCACCTGTGCAGGGACAGCTGGCACAGCCCTCCGGCCCCTGCCTTCCCCTGACTCCATGCCTTGGTGTTTGGGACCTAGGTCCCTGCACATCCATGTCCCATGGCTTGTGCACCTGCACGTGTCCCCTGCAGGATGCTGCAGTGGCCATGCGGGTCCCATGTCTTCCCGGGAGCATGCATGTCTGTCCCGTCTGCCCAGTTTACCGGGCAGCCACTAGCAAGGTCCGGTTCAAGGTCAGGAATCTCTGGAAGTCTAGCCCCAGTTCTGCAACCACAGCATCTTCCTCCAGCCCCCGGAACCAGGATAAGGGGGAAGAACCTGGAGAGCAGAGAGCGAGGCGGTGCTGAGGGCCCAGGGTACCATGCGGGGCCCCACACCCCAACTAGGGGAATACTCAGCCATGGCCAGGGTGGAGATGGGAGGCAAGAGGGGGCAAGCTATTAATAAAAGTAATACCAGGCACGCAGAGCACTTTATCCCTGCCAAGCGCTGTTAGCGCTTTCGACGCACCATTTCCTTTCACATTAACCTTATGAGGTTGGCTTTACAGACCGGCGCCTGAGGCAGGAGGCGCCTGCATTAGCTTGAAGTGGGGGACACGAGGGTTTACATCCAGCTCTGTGGGACTCAGGAGCTGAGCTCAGTCCCTTCCTGGAACTGCCTTTGCGCCTGGCTTGTACACTGGCCCATCTGGAGCCCTTACTCTGCTTCTCCACAGCCCCCCAGCCTCACAGCCACTGCCGCCCGCCGCCCTCCGAGGCTTCTGCCTTTTCTGACCAACTTCAGGATCCACCTGGCTCGGTCTCAGGAACCTCAGTCCCCAGTGTTCAAAGAGCGCTCAGGGCTCAGGGAGATGCATCAACATTCATAAAGGGCTTAGAACTGTGGCAGGCGCACAGAATGTTCTCTATTCTTATCAGTCCCCCAACAATCTCTCCCAATAACCCAACTGCAGTTCCTCCACCCTTCAAATGCCTCCACTTCCTACATACATAACAGGGACCTGCAAAATAGATAACGTGCTTCCAAACAAGGGGGGTTTACAGTTTCTGTCATGGTGGGAGTTTTGAGGATGGCAGTACAAACGGGTGATGGGGAAGTAAGAGTTGTTGGGGACCACGGAACTGGCCCAAGGCCTTCTTCACTTTGTAACTAAGAAGAATACACAAATATAAAGCATTTACTTTGTGCCAGACAGTGTCCTCAGCACTTTATATGTATTACCTCATTTAATCCTTAAATGACTCCATGAGGGAGAATATTATTATCTTCATTTTTCAGATGAGGAGACTGAGGCTAAGAAATATTAGATAACTTTAACCAAGGTCACATAACTGCTAAAACCCAGGCATGGTGGTGCAGCCTGTAACCCAGCACCCTGGGGGCCTAGGGCTGGAGGGTCACAAGTTCTCGCCAGCCCAAGCAATTTAAATCCAGTCCAAGAAAATTTTCTAAAAAGGCTGAGAATGTAGCTCAGTGCAAAGGTCCCAGGTTCAATTTGCTGTACCAAAAGAGAAAAACAAAAAACCCTGCTGTTTTTTTTTGAGATATGGTCTCACTGCGTAGATATCAGGCTGGCCGTGAACTCACTAGGTAGCCCAGGCTGGCCTTGACCTTGTGGTGCATCCTTCTGCCTCCACCCTGCTAAGATTTGGCCTAAGAGTTCATGTTTTTAACCACCAAGCAACACTGAGTGAAAAACCAGTCCCAGGCATGGGAAAGAATGGAGACAGAAGGCTGACGTAGGCACATTGCCCTGAGTTTGGGGCCAACTTGGACTACATAGAAGACCCTGCCTCAAAAATAAAGGGGGCCCAGGAGCTCCCTGCACCTTACCTCCCATGCAGGGGTAAGACTCACCTTGCAGGTCAGAGGTGAAGAGGGGGAGGGGGTCCTGGGGGAAGGCAGCCTGGCTATGGGGAAGTGAGAGCAGCAGCAGCAGCAGCAGCAGCAAGGGCATAAAGGGAGGGCCTCGGGGCATCCTGTGCCGGGCAGCTCAGGCCCCAGGGGCTGCCCCCTCACCCATATGCCGGCCCTGGAAGGGGAGACAGAGAAAAGTGGGGGAAGGGACCAAGGGAAGGCAGCTCCTCTCCAGAAGTATCCCCAAAAGACCCGAGGGATAAGGGAAAGAACCCTCTCTGCGTACTGCCCCAGTCCCAGCAGCTGTCACTGTCACTCAAGGCTGATCCCTCTCCAACTGGCCCAAACTGGCTGATGTGAAGCCACCAGCCAAAGTGACCCCAGGTAAGGGCAGGACAAGCCGCTCCCCCACCCAGCCTTCTCACTCAGCCTGTCCTCTCCCACCAGTCTGGGACATTAGGTAGGTGACACCTCCTGCCTCCACCCCTTGTGCTCACCCCTTCTCGGCTATAATTAGACCCTGAAGCCTTAACATTATAAATAGTGACTCCTTGGCACCAGGAGGAGGAAGAGAGGACCAAGTCGCCCCACCCCTGACAGACCCCCAAGTGCCCCCAGGCCAGGCAGAGGCCACTATGGAGCCAAGCCTCTCTGAGAGTGAGAAAGAACAGAGCAGGGGGCCGACGGCCCAGGGGTCACTGTTCTGGTCTTAGCTCAGCTTCAGGGGCCCCTCCCACTGCTAGGGAAGATGCTGGGCAGGGAGGGGCTGGGGGGGCTGTCTTAGCCAAAAATGAATCTGCATCAAAGCCAGATCAGAGGCTAAATTTAGCTCTGGCTGCAGCTGTCTCCACGACCACTGTCCCCCTCCCAGCCTCTCTAGCCCCCTGTTCCCTCCCTGGCTTCTAAGAACCAGGGCATGTACTTAATGGGGAAGGGCCGACCCACCCGCTAAGAGAGGCCAAGGAGAGGACTGGTGAGGTGAAATGGCTGAACGTGCCCCTCTTTCCCTCATCGGGCTGCCTCTGAAATTGAAATATAAATAATTCAGTGACAAGCAATTGTAGCCCAAAGTCCAGGAAAAGATGGATATGGTGGAAGGGACAGTGAGACAAGTCTCATTCCACCCCATCAGCCTCCCCAGCCCGCTGACCCTGGAGTCCCACAGAGGGAGGTTTGAGCCAGCCTCCTGCCTTCCCCTGAAACTGAAGTGAGGGACGGAGAAGGCTCCGGAAATCAGGGCAGGGAGGGTAGGAATTGTTCCGGAACAGGTCACAGTAATCCTCAGTTGCCCATCCCAGCAAGTCCCCTAAAGAAGAATTCCCGGGCTTCCAGGCCCAGCCCCTTCCATCCTCCCAATCTTTCCACACTTGAAGCCAGGACCCAAGTGTCCCCTCACCCCCAGTCTAGCGTCACTGGTGGAGGCTGACGTCAGGTGGGGGCCCCAGAGAGCTGAAGGAAGGGAAAGGGTAGGAACACCTAATGATGACCCCCCTTCCCCAGGGGCAGAGCAGCCTGCCAGCTAACGACCCTCTGGCATCCACAGGCCAAGCCTCCTTCCCTCCCTCCCCCATAGGATGTTCCTGGATGCTGGTGCCCCCAGGGGAAGAGAAAGGGACACAGCTTGTCTCCATGCTCCCCTGCCTCCCCCTCCCACCAGTTGCCTTGGGCAACTGGTTTCTTCAGCCTGGAAACAACTCTGGTCTCTAATAAGTGGGAAGAACAGTGGACCCTCTTCTTGCTTCATGACTGTGACTCTGCTGGCTTCCATTCTGGGCTTTCCTTACCTGGGGTGTTGGCTCCTGTGGGGACTGAGGGGGACAGGAGACCTCAGAGGGGGTAAGACACCTCTGACCTGATGGAAGAAGGGACGAAAGGAGGGAAGAGGCTGAGTTACACCTCCCTTACCACCTCCCTTAGAAGTAAATGTGAAGTTACTTGTGGTCACAAACACCTATGGCCCCAGGGAGGCTGAGGCAGGAGAATCACAAATTCCAGGCCAGCCTGGGCAACTTTCCTTTTTTCTTTTGGCAACTTAATTTTGTTGTTTTGTTTTTTGAGACAGGGTTTCGGCTATGTGGTTCCGGCTGATCTTTTTTTTTGCGGGGACGGGGGTTTCTTTCCGGAACCAGGAATCAAACTCATGACCTCACGCTTGCCAGGCAGGTGCTGTGCCGCTGAGCTAAATCCCTAGCCCCCTTGATCTTGAACTCACTATATAGCCTTGGCTGGCCCCAAACTCATGGTGATCCTCCTGCCTCAGCTTGTGCCCCTAAGCATAGCCTAGTGAGACCCTTTCTCAAAATATAAAAATGGTTTGGGTATGTCAGTCAGTGGGAGAGCACCCCTGGCCTCAATCCCCAATACAGGATGGGGTGTTAAGGATGCAAATACAAGAGAAGCTGAACACAGTGTAGAGGTGATGCTGTCTTGGAAAGTGGGAAAGGGAACATGTAGTGTGGTTACAAAGCTGTGTGTGTGTGGGGGGGTGCCTTCAGGCTTCAAGATAGGAGGGCAGAGGTTGGGCCCTAGTCACAAACTCCTGGAACTGCAGGGCCAAACTTGGGGGAAGGAGCCACTGTGGGACATGAGCACCACTCCTGTCAAAACCTTCAGAATCCCACAGCCGTCTTAGCAAAAGCTTCCTAGCTAGGGACAATGGAGACTCATTTGCATCTCATTTGTATGCTCTTCATTTCCAGGCAAAATGCTTTGATAGCAGGCACCCCAGCTCCTTCCTTCTTCCCCCAGAACAGGTCCTGCCTCCTCCCTCACCTCTTCACCCTGGCCCCCCACGCACACACAGGCAGGGTCGGTCCAGCTCCTGAAAGCATTTGGTTGGCCTCTGCCTTGGCCCCCTAGCCTCATTGTGACGCATCTTTGGGGGGCCCTCATAGCTGTTTCAGGGAGCAACATCTGGGAGGCTCCTACCCATCCCTGACCTGGGGAGGGGCTCAGGGTGACCCGCAGGAATACCGGGGAGATCTGGCAGACTCCCCCTTTCTGGGAAGAGGAAACAGCCATTCTTTCTCCTCCTGGCCAGGCAGCTACCTCTGGGGAGTGCCCGAGGTCACAGCCATAACCTAGCAGCGCTGGGGAAGGGATGGGAAAGGGGGGACCGGGCTGGGGACAATAGCAGGAAGCCATCAGGCTAGTCGCCTGCCCTGTCCCCTTCCTCAGGGGGTGCGGGGGTGTGCAAGAAGCCTACTGGCGCGGTGGCTCGCCTGTCGGAGACCTTTCCCCACCCTTCGTCCTCCGCCAGGCTCCGCACCTTCCCTGCACCCACCGGGCCCGGCCGAGGGAACTCAGGTGTCTAGGGCTTCGCGGGAGGTGGGCCCGGGCCAGGGCTGGATCGGGGATCCGAGGGGGGCGGGCAGCGGAGTCGGGGCCGGGACCGGGTCCCAGAGCCACGTTAGCGGGAGGAGGGGCTGGAGGGGCCGCAGGCGCAGCCCAAGCGGGCCGGAGCGGGCCGGGAGGCGGGGCGGTCTCCGGGCCGGGAAACCGGGCCAGGGCTGGGAACCAGGAGGGCGGGCCCGGGCCAGGCGGAGCGGGGTCTTCGAGCGGGGACGCAGCCGCTTCGCGGCTCTGCTCCTCCGAGACAGGACTAACAAAGCCAGGAGCCGAGAGGGTTGAGAGGAGGGCGCTGGGGCCGAGGTTTCTCCCCGGCTCTGCTCAGGCCAACCCCCCAGGGTGCTGGGGCTCCTGCCTGCACAGGGACCACGGTGCAGCCCTCATCCAAAGTGCGAACGAAGCGGCCCCTTCCCATCCCGCAGGGGCATCGTGAGGGGCCGCCCCCCTGAGTCTCGGAACCTTAGTTTCCCTGTGAGGAAAGCCAGCGGCCAGGTTTTCCACCCCCTGCACAGTGCGCGCCGCACCCCAAAATATTCCCTTCCATGCTCCGCAATCCAACTAGACACGACCGGAGAGGGATCAGTCCGCGGAGGCGCGGAGACCCTGCGCCCACCAGGGCGGCGACGGAGCTCGGCCACGGTCCCCGCCTCCCGCGCGCCCCAACTCGCGGAGCCCTGCCCGCCGCACCCCAGGTTCCCTACGCCCTCCCGACCGTCGTCCCCGCCCCCGAGGGACAGTACTTGCTGGGCGAGCCTGGTCGGTGGGATCCAGAGAGCGGCGGGCGGCCGGAGCCCCACGTCACGCAGAGTTCGCACTCCGGGGTTGGGGCTCCGGCGAGACGCGATGCGCGTCCCGATTGGAGAGTCCTTGGATCTGGGCTCTGGGGCGTTGTCTCTCGAGAGCTCTGGGTCTGGGTCGCAGCCCCCACTCCGCCGTGGCTCCGCGGAGGAAAACAATGCGACCGCCCGGAGCTCTGGGCTCGGCCCCAGCCGCCCCGCCTGCCTCCGGCCGGACCCGCCTCCGACCCGCCCCTGCTCGCTAAAACCAATAGGATCTTTAGAGAGCTTCTAGACCCCGCCTCCTCGCCGCTTCTCTACCTATAGCGCTGCTCTGGGGCGGGGCGCCAGGAGTAGCGTCCACCCTGAGAGCCGGGCGGGTGGGTGAGCTGGAGACTAGAGACCCGCGTGAGATAGCGAGACCCACGGACAGTCGGAGAAACCAGAACAGAGGAAGACGCGCACACAGAAACAGAGACAAGCTAGCAGGGGGAGGCCCAAAGGACAAATGTCGCAAGAGAGGACGCAAGAGAAGCTGAAAAAAGACAGGAAACCCGGGGGCCGGGCTGGGCTGGGCTGGGCTGTCAGAACCTGCGAGACCCCCGACACACACACTTTCCTTTAATGGCTTTGGCGACTCTGTTCCCTAGGGAGCCTTCCGTGCCTCGCTCCGATCCACCCCAGCCCTGCGTTTCTCCTCCCTATGATTTTTACCTCTATCTCTTTATTTCTCCCCACGTGCCTCCTCTTAGTTCATCCTGACCCTGAGAAGGAGGCCTGCACATACCTAGGGGCTTGAGGCCTGGGAAAGGAAATTGTCCACAGGAGGTTTTTCTTCTCCCTGTCATTGCCTCGCCCACTACAACCGTCAAAGCAGGATGGGCTTGGCCCACCACGCCGGGGACCAAGGAGCCAGGAAGCTTGGGCGGCCGACAGTCAGGCTGTTGGCTGATGAAAGATGACAGGTGAGAGGGGCTGACGCCAAAAGAGAACTGTGGAGACCAAGACTAATGTGTTCAGAGACTCCACCGAAAGCGGGACCCAGAGACCTGATACAGACCATGAACAGCTGCCTTCATCCTGTATGCCCCAGGGGCCCAGGACTAGTGGCTCAGGACCCTCCTGAGGGTCCTGGACTTCCCTCCAAACCGCTAGACTGCTCCTGCCTGCTCCCGCCCCTTCTGAGAATGTCAGTAAGGAGGAAGAAGGAGGCTACTGCAGACCTCGATGCTTGGCTTCCACCTTGGTATTGAATTCTTCCCTGCGTGGGGTTGGGACAAAAGACATTCTCAAAATTCCCAGGAAAGTAGGTGGCCTGGGAGATGCTGGGATTCCCGGAGAGTGTTACTGAGTGTGTACTTCCACCCACATTTTTTTTTTTCTTTTTTTGAGACAGGGTCTTCCTATGCAGTTCAGGCTGGCCTTGAGCTCACTTTGTAGCCCAGGCTGGTCTCGAACTTGCAATGATCCTCCTGCCTCAGCCTCCCGAGTGCTAGGATTACAGGTATGCACCACCACGCCCAGCTTCCACCCACATTTTGGTCTCTGAACTAGGGGAAAGGAGGGCAAGAGGTTTACCATTTCTGCACCAGTCTTAAGTGGACTGGAATCAGAGCCGTCTTCTGCACCAGTCTTAAGTGGACTGGAATCAGTAGCATCACCAACTGGGCTAAACCCCTCAGCCATCCAGTAAGGCACAGAGAGAGAGAGAGATTTAAGGCCAGGTGAATCAGTAAGATAAACAGAATCAGAAACAATAGGGTAGAAACCTACACAAGATTAACTGCTGAAGTGTCTTGGGTCCAAGGCAATACAGTGGACCACTGGATTAGCCAGGAGTTGTTTTGAGGGCTCAAAAGAAGTTTTGGGAGAAAGATAATCAACATTTAGAGGCAACAGAGCCAGTGTAGTGGCACATGTCTGTAATCCCAGAACTTTGTTTTTTGTTTGTTTGTTTGTCTTTTTGAGACAGGGTCTTGCTATGCCTCTCAGGCTGGCCTTGAGCTCACTTTGTAGCCCAGGCTGGCCTCAAACTCTCCATGATCCTCCTGCCTCAGCCTCCTGAGTGCTGGGATTACAGGCATGCGCCACCACACCCAGCCCAATCCCAGAACTTTGGCAGGGAGATTGCAAATTTGTGCCTAGCCTGGGCAATTTAGCAATTTAGCTACACTGTATCTCAAAATAAAAATTAAAAAAGAGTTGGGAACGCCCGATGACTCAGAGGTCGAGCTGACTGGGGATGCAATAGCCATTCCAGAGCTGGAAACCAGGAGGACCTTGTGCAATACCCGGGGAGACCCTCTGGAGGCCATTCTTCTCCTAACTGTACAGGCTGCGGTGGAGGAGCGAGTGGAGCTCCGGAGAGGTCTGCACCGAGACTTCATGGATTATATGGGTGCCCAATATTGAGATTCTGTAGAACCACCTTCATAGAGAAGGACCATTGTCTCCATGGAGGAGCCCCGCAAAATCATGACTACAGAGAAAAAAGTGGACAGCCCGTTGCTAGACACTGGTGCTGGTCTCTTGGTCCTTCTTTTCAGCCCTGGCCTTCCTTCCAGCCGTCACACCTCAGTGAGGGAATTCACTCATGATGAGGTTATCCACTATTTTTTGCAACCCTTGGGCTGTAACTACTTGTTGGATCTTGCTTGCACATCTTTTCTTGCATATCTGAGAAACCACTTTGAGGATGCCAACATGCATTGCAGCAGCCATTGATGATTTCCTACCAATCTGTCCATAACTCTTTAATGTTCGTATTGTTCCTGTGCTATTTCATAAATGGATGTATGTTTGTTACTATGTGTTTTCAACAACAACCATTGAGAATAGTCAATGATTATTTGATTGATCACTCATGTATAGCTCAATTTGTTTTCCCTAGAGACCACTTTGGAGAAACCAAGATATAGTACAACAACCATTGATAATTTCCTGCCATTTTTGTCTGTAACTCATGTTGATTTGTCTATTTGTTTTCCTGAGAAGCTATCTTGAAGATACCAATAGGTAAAATAACAACCATTGGTAATGTCCTACCACTTTGTCTGTAATTCAGTGAATCCCCCTATTGCTATGTTGTTCTTCTTTTACTCTTTAAAATAAAAAAAAATTAAAAATTAAAATAAATAAATAAATAAAAAAGGGCTGGGAATGTAGCTCAGTGCAAAGGCCCTGGGTTCAATCCCCACTACCACCAAGAAAAAAAAAGAGGAGTGTAGCTCAGTGATTCAGTGCTTGCCTAGCCTGCAACAAGCCCCTGGGTTTGATCCCCAGCACTGCACAGGTTTGGAAAGAAAAGGATGAATCTTTTTTTTTTTTTTTTTTTTTTCTGGTACCGGGAATTGAACTCACGACCTTGCACTTGCCAGGCAGGCACTGTGCTGCTGAGCTAAATCCCCAGCCCCAGAAAAGGATGAATCTGGAAGTTATTTCAAAAGACAAATCAAAACCAAATCAAAATCTCTTCCTACCTGCTGGTGTTCTGAAGAAAATCGCACTGCCCCACTGCGTCTTTGTAAATGCAGGAGCTCCAGACTGGGAAAATCACTCTCTCTAATCCCCACCAGTAGCCACTTCAAATCGCCTCCTTTTCTCTCAAGTTCCTTGCCCTACCACTTCTTTACTCATCTCAGCACAACCTACATCCATCTTTACAGAAAATTAGAGCAATAAGGTAAGAATTTCAACTTTTGCCTCCTGCAGATGAACTCAGCTGCATTGTCTCATCTCTCTCATCCTGGTGGACGAGGTCTGAAAATCTGTCCATTGTACTGTATGCTCTATGCTGTGTGTCTGTCCTGCTCACCTCTGTATTTTTTTCACTCAGCACAGTGCCTGCACAGAGTAGGTGTTAACTATTAGCACGTTAGTTGAATAAATCTGTACTCTGAGCCAGGCATGGTGGCACATCTCTATAATCCTAGCTCTTGGAAGGTTGAGGCAGGAAGATTTAGAGTTCAAGGCCAAGCTGGGCTCCATAGCAAGCTCCAGGCCAGCATGGAACGTAGTGAGACCCTGTTTTAAAAAAAAAAATTAAAAAGGGACCATAGATGTAGCTCAGTACAAAAGCTCACTTCTTAATGCTCGTTTGTATGTAGTCACCACTTCATTTCTCTTTTCCTTTCATGGCCAAGCTTTTAGAGTCACCTATGCTTGCTTAGCTATTTTCACGATTCACATTCACTTCTGAATCTTTTTCATGTTTGTCCTTATAAATCCACTGACCAGTGACCTCCAGTCACACTACTAAACAGCTCTTCAGTCTGTCCTTTTGTCCTCTTTGTGGCATCTGACCCTATTAACCTCTTTTCCTTGAAATGCTCTCCTCTTTTGGCTCACGTGGTTCTTCTTTCTCTTGACAAAGACTATGGGTTTAATAAATTCTTAACATGAATGAATGGCTTCACTTCTATTAATATGCCTTTCTTGGCCTTCTCTGACCACCCCTGTAGTGTGTGTGTTCCCTAGGGTTCTTTCTAAATGTATACATTCTCATCCGTCAAAATAATCCAGCTGGGTATTGTCGTGTATGTTTATAGTCCCAGCACTCTGGAGGCTGAGGCAGGAGAATCAGAAGCTTGAGGTTGGCCTGGACTATAATAGTTAGTTTGAGGACAGCCTGGGCTCCATAGGGAGACCCTGTCTCAAAATTAATTCATTAATTCATTAATTGGCCAGGCATGGTGGTGCACGCCTATAATCCCAGTACTTGGGAGGCTAAGGCAGGAAGATCAATGCAAGTTTGAGACCACCCTGGGCTACAAAGTGAGCTCAAGTCCAGCCTAAACTGTATAGCGAGACTTTGTCTCAAAAAGACCAAAAAAAAAAATAATAATAATAATAATAATAAATTAATTAAAAATAGCTAATCCACACTAATAGTTACAATAACTCTGTGCTACTCACCATCAGTGTACACCCATGTAAACAACTGTTCATTGGATACTTCCATTTGGGTTCCTCTAGTAGTCTAAAGACAGGAAGCTTGTCTTTTATTTTTTTATCCTTAGCACTTAGTCATAATGTCTGGCAGGCAGTTAGTAGAGAAAGAAATAAATTCACTGAAGATTAAAAGGAAAAAAAAAAAAGATTAAAAGCTGGGAACTATCTCCAGCTAGATCAGGCGGTCTTGCCTGGCTGTTGGAGTGTCCTCCGGAACTGATAGAGAGCTCTGTCCCCCACGCGCCCAGCTCGGGACAGGGAACAGCTCGGTGCGGAGTGTGGGGTTAGAATGTG